ATAAACCAGTTAGATCTCAAAACTATTTTTTTATCCATTTGGTCATTTAATCCAACATTATTTAGAACTGAGGATGAAAAAAAAAGATACAATTAGAATAATAAGGGTGCTGAATGATATTTAAGTGGTACATGAATGGGAGCAGGGGCTCTTTGATTTAATGTAGAACATTTATATACAGGGACTTTTCTGCAGATAAGGCCTACAGATTTGCATGAGAAGAAGAATTTCACTGTTCGAAAAAGTGTTTAAAAACCATAGTTCATATCCAAGACTATGAGTCATCTTAGAGTATAAGAACACTAACATCAGTTCTCGTGTGTGAGAATGGCTATTGACAAACAGACAACAGAAGAGTCTTGGTGATTATATGGGGGGTATAAGATCCATGATACATGGCTGGTGAGCCTGTAACATAGTGCACTCATAATGGAAAATAGTGTGGACATTCTGCAAAAAGTCAAAATAAAACTACCATATGACAGACAGTTCCACTTCTGGGCACATGCCCAAAGGATGCTGAAAAGATATTTGCTCTCTCCTGTTCATTGCTCCCTTCACGTTGTCAAGATATCTAGGTGTCCATCAATGGCCAAATAGATAACAAAGATGTATTATGTTCATACAAGAGAATGTTACTTAGCATTAGAACAGAAGAAGACGTGATGGATCTAGAAGACATTATGTTAAGTGAAATAAATCAGACAAAGAAAGATGAACATTGCATGATCTCAGTCTCATGGAATCTAAAGTCAAACTTATGAAACTTGTGAGTATCTAAGTAGTTAGGAAAGGCCAGGAGAGGGTAGAGGAGTTGGAAGTTATGGGCCAAAGGGCATACATTTTATTTAGCTAGAGCTAAGAAGTTAAAGATCTATTGTGGGAAGACTGTAGTTGATAAAATCTACTTGAAACTTGAAGTGTTATCACTGTAAACATTGATTTGTAAGATAATACATAGACTGGCTCAATGTAACCATTCTACAATGTACAAAAATAAATGCTAATCATCAGAAATCTATATAATTTATATTTTAAAACAAAAAAAATGAAAATAAGAAAAAACCCTGTCTGATTTAGAAATGTAAACCATCTTCAACTGTAAACCACCAATAGGAGTTGACATGTCCTTTCTCTGCCCCACTTGAAATAAAAGGCAGATACTCTGTTCATTTTGGAGGTGGCTGGTAAGTCAATTTGCAAGACACAGAAGTTTTCCAGTTTTACAAGGCCATAATTCCCTCGAAGTAAGTTTTACTCTGCATGATCAAACACTGTCTCAAATTCCTACTACTGAAAGTGGAGGCGACAGAAAAGCATTTAAACTTGAGATCCTCTGAGAAAGTCGTCTCATCTGCTTCCCATCGCTCATAAGCTCTGGCGCATCTTCTCATCAGCTGTAGATGAGGGCTCAGTTCAGGCACAGGAAAAAAGGTGTCTGCTAGAGAAGATGCAGGCAGCTGGGGGAGGGAGAGGGGGAGGGAGGAAGAGAGGTCCTGGTTCAGACACTGAGGCAAACTTTCACTAATTGACCTTTTCAGTAAAAATTCATCATATTTTTAGCAACTAACTTGAAATTCTTTATTACATTAGTTAGCACAAAAACACTTGTCTTTAATTTTGTGAATATATTCTAATACACAGGCCTACAACTTAAAGAATGGAATGGCTCTATAAGCTTTCTTTGATACATAAATATATATACACACATATACACACACATATATCATTCCTTCCTATCTATCTATCTATCTATCTATCTATCTATCTATCTATCTACCTACCTACCTACCTACCTACCTACCTATGTACCTATAAAATCTTCCTCTATATCCTTACTTCCTGTTCCTGGACTGATCATCTATTTGACATTTTCTCCCACATCTCTGATAAATGTGCTTATATGCTTATTTTCCCAAACTGAATTTCCAGCTATCAAAATCCATTTTTTCCTCCCACCAAGTCTAACATTCTCCTTCCCCTTTAACCCGAACACAGCCTTTTCCATTAAATCAACAATTAGTATAAGCAGTGTCTCGTCATTACTGTCCCTTTTCTGCACAACTGTTTTTTCTGGGAGATAGTGATCCTGACTTTTAATTTGTTCAACTTCGATATTTTAAAATATGTGTCAGTTTCTCTTTCAAGACACCCCATTCTTTGCTTAGTCCATCAAAGCCACCTTCCCGGGGGATGGAGCTCAGCTATGCCTGGTATACCCCATTCCCAGAGACCTTACATTCTTAAGTGTGATACTTAATATTCATTGTCAACCCCACTAGACTTAGGATTATGCTGAAAGATAGACTCATGGGCAGGTCTTGAGGGTGCTTCTAGAATAAATTTAATGGAGACAGAAAGACCTACCTTGGCTGTGGTTGTGCAGTCCTACGGGTTGGGCACTGGACTGGATCAAAAGGAGACAGAGAGCTGAGCACTATCACACATCTCTCTGCTTCACGGCAAGGGTATGATAAGACCTATAGTCTCCACTGCTATGCTTCCCAGCCTTGAAAGACTGTATCCTCAAACCAGGAGTCAGAATAAACCCTCTCTTTAAATAGAATTGTGCCAGGTATTTTGGTCATAGCAATGAAAAAATCAACCAATACATTCAGCAAAAAGCTTTAGCAACTAGCCAGAGTGAGGCTGTGGAAGTATCCTGAAGATAAAATATGGGAGAGGATATTTTGAAACTGGATTGTTTCTCACACTTTCTAACAAGAATCTTTATTTTGGTTCCAATATCATTGTCTGGGTTCTCCTGATGCATTCGTCATGGATTCATCTTGCAGCTCACTCAGTAAAACTAAAGTTATTCTATTTTGTGGATCGATTGCTCAGAGGGTGAGAGCATTTGCTGTTGTTGGAGACAATAGAGCCTGATTCTCAGAACCCATGTTCTGAAGCTTGCAACTTCCTGTAACTCCAGCTCGAGGAAACCTGACACCTTCTTGTGGCCTTTGTGGTCACCCACACGCATATGTGTATATGCACAATGCATGCATGTAGTCATGTGCGCGTGCGCACGCACACACACACACACACACACACAAAGGTAAATCAAAATAAATGAAATTTTATACTGTCATGTCTGTTTTCTATGTCTGAGTGGGTGGATTTAAACCTTTCATAATGTTCTCTGCTGTTCTCTCTCTCTCCACACACACACACACACACACACACACACACACACACAAATGTAGAAAGAACTCTGTGTTTAATCTGCTTTTGCTGTTTTTGAGAGTCTAATAGAAATCAATACAACAGAAACCCAGGCAAATACTTTAAGCAGGCATTTTATCAACCATTATTTATAGGACAATAAGCAACGTATGCTTAGCTGTCACTTATGGGTGGAGTAGATGAGGCCCAATCTTCCTCAAGCAAGTCATTTACCAGATGGATCCAGACACTGAATACCTTAAGCCCAGCCTTCTTTTCACTTAACCCTCCTCATTTTAAGCGTGTAGAGCATTGCCTTCTTGGTAGTCTATAGCTGCTTTCCAGTCTCAAATACCTGAGAATTGCCTCAGTCAATCAATACCTTTTGTCATGCTCTATTACAGCTGATCAATATGGACAAGGATGCAATGAGGTGGAAGCAAGATGTTTTATTCAATCAAGTTTTTGGTCTCTTTTATTGATCTGAATGTTTTAGTCGTGTTTATGAAACTTCTATATTCTTCTCATTTAGTTTGTTTTATTCCAACTAGGAAAACTAGTAAGAATTGTTTGCCTAGGAACACTTACATGCACCTTTTCTTACAGCTATTATAGATTCAAGTTATCAGTATAAACAGATGTGTAATCTGGATTCTTTTCCATTGTTTGAGCAACCTGGGGTGAGAGCACCATTCATGTGTGTATCTCCTATCTGTGCAGTGGGAGCTGTTAAGACTCACAATCTGAGATCCCACAGGTCACCTGTGGTCAGTAGACATCTTCCGTGTAGCCACCATGGTAAAAACTGGGGAAAAAGACAAATATCGTATGTTTTTCTTATATGATGATGTTAGCTGTCAAAACGGTTTCTATAATCTGAATAACCATAGAAGTTAAGTCCTTAGTGAAGGAGCAGGTAGGAAGTAAGGGTCTCCTCAGGAAGGGGAAGGAGAATAGAGTGTTATAGAAAGACAAAGGGACACTAGAATAGGAAGATTAAATGTGGATGGGAATGAGAAAGTAAAGGAGGGGATATGTGGAGGACAAGCAACACTAATGGCCATTTGAAAAACCACACAGACAACGACACTTATAGACGCTTCCTAAATATCTGTACATGTATAAAAGGAATCTGTATGGAGTCACTGAACAATAGAGAAGAAAATGTCACAACTACTTATGCCGCCAAGGAAAACCTCAGGTGCCAGAAATGGGTCAAATCTTGTTGATCAAGACCATATGGTAATGCCCAACACCCCAGTGACTGACAAGGCTATTGGTTGCTCTCTATAACCTTCTGGTAAGGTCCTGTGGCTGAAGACAACACTTGCTTATGTCAGCACACAGGAGAAGTCAAGCTGGTACCTAACTCACAGCTTTGCCCTTACTAACCAGTGTTTATGGTACTGGACATACTTTACATACCAGTGGAGAAAGTTTTTCAGTAATAGCCAGATAACCTTGCAACCTACAACAATAACCTGTCTGAAAGATATACTGGTACAATAACTCAAGTCTAAGTGATTAGAAACCTGGGATTAGAAGCTACAGATTTACCACATAACCATCTAAAAGAAAGGAAACATAGAAAGTGAACCTATTGACTTTGTATTTCTCCAATAGTCAGGAGTGCCAGCAATGCCAAAAAGTCTTTCTTCCTCCTGTCTTACTCTGCACATCTGTCATAATTCCTTTGTGACTCTTCACCGGGTAGGATGACCCTGAGTTTTTTTTTTTTTTATCTGTATCTCCAAATGTTTATTTCGATTAAAGTTTTCACTCTGTAGCACAGTAAATGTAAACATAGCTCCTTTGTTTGTGGTTTTCTTTGGGGAGCTAGGGAGTCACAGAACATTCTGTACTGACTTTTATACTATTCGGAGTTTATTAGACATTCTTTCTTAGCCTGCTCTTCAGCGTAGCCTTGACCATGCCCTAGGTCGCAGGCTTGATTTTATGATTCCGAATACAACAGTGACCTACATCCTGAATCACAACAGGACATAACCCACAGCGAATGAACAGAGAAAAACAAGCAGAAAGAAGAGATAAGATAAAATACTGATACCGCGAGGATGCCAAGGGGTTATTGTGCCAGTTGAAGATAATTACTGGGTAAGTTAAGGTCAGAGGAGTTTCAAGATTAAACCAAATGGAGCAAGGGTAAGTTATTATCTCTTCTTGTTAGGTAACTGCCTGGTGTCTTAGGCTGGAACTCAGGGAAAGCTGGGAGGAATGGGGAAAAGGAACAAAACTAACTTTCGAGTGCTTTTATTTCATGTAACCTGTGGTGGAAGAGATTGCGTGTCGGTCACTTCACTGGATTTTAAGGGAGGTCCTGTGCCGACTCACCTAAGTAACCAGTTAGCCAATCAGTTTGAGAGATGACGAGTTTCCCCTTCACAGTCAAGGAGACAAACTTGCTTGCCTGAATCTTGAGAGACCAAGGTGATGAATGCTGCCAAACAGGTTGCTAGTACAGAAACTTACTCCTTGAAGGAATGGAGTAAGCTAATCCCATCCAGCAAACATCCAGGCCTCCTTTTCTTTGCAATCCACCGTGATAGGCCGTGCAGATTACGCAGATGGATATCTGAAAAAAACTTGCTCTTAATAATCTGTCCTATAATTGAGTTGTGCATCACAGAAACAGGTACAGTTCTGAAGTAGGGACCGCTGCCTTCAGAAGGTCACCGGAGAAGGGAAAGAAACAGAGCCTAGATCCATGACACCAACAGCTTTGACCCCAACCTTGTGCAAGCATTTCACATGAGATTCTCATTTCTCCGCCACTTAGTGTTAGGAAGTTACAGGATGATGTTTCATTTAATAAATTTTCTCCACTAAACGGGACAGGTAATCTATTTTCTGCGTTACAGGTAGGGTAGTGATTTGAGAAAGTGAAGTAATTTGCAAATTACTAAGTAGGCCGGTCTTTAAGGAAATTGCATGGCATAAACGTATGGTACCCTTGGAAGTAGTGGTGTAGAGATCGAAAAATAAAATAGGAAGAGTCAGGTGCTGGTGACAGAAGCTAAATTGCAAATAGTTAAATGATGACTCAGAGGTTCTCACTTATTAAAATTTTCTAAAAATGATATTTTATTGGGGAGACAGAAAAGTACAAAAATAAAGAAGGCATATTCTGTCTGCCTTCATAATGAATATTCTATTTTGTACATTATGAAATATCATATAACCACTATAAGAAATAGTTTCAATAATAAATGCCCGAGTATCCACTACTAGCTTAATAAAATGAAAGTTGTACATGAGTCTGACTCCAACCCCACCATGTTCTTCTTAAATAGAACTAAGATTTGAACAGCATTAGCTTTTTATAGTTTACGTACATACTCAAAGATACATGATCACACTTCCATTTATGAACTTGAATGCATTTCATAAAATGGAATTAGAAAATGCATATGTGTTTTGTGATTACGTTTTTGCTTAGCACTATTTATGCCTGTGGACATGTAGACACAGTTAATTTATTCTCTAGTGGAGTTGAAGGCCTTTTTATAATGACATCACAGTTCATGTATCAAATTCTAAGAAGAGGATAATTGAGTAATTCCAATTTTCTACTATTAAAATAAAAGCTGCCGTAAATGCTCTAATGCCCATATTCTGGCATGCAAATTATTCTCTAGCCCATATTTCTCCAGGTTAAAAACTTCACAAGTTGGCTGAGTAGATGTGAGATCCTAATTCTGTTCCTAATTTTAAAGAGTTTTTTGATCAATTTTCATTAAGTATGATTCTCACCCAACTTCTGTAGATAAAGTTCATTCTGTTGCTATGATAAAATACTCTAGCTAAAACCAACTGAGGAGACAAAACAATTTTTAAAAATATTTATTATTTAAAAGATTTTGTTTTGTTTTGTTTTACATACCAACCACAGTTTCCCCTCTTCCCTTCTCCTGTTCCCCCTCCCCTCCCACTCCTCAGAAAGGGTAAGGCCTCCTTAGGGTGCTAGGAAACTCCCAGGAATCCATAAGAATGAGCACAGATAAGACTCCTAGCAATAGTGGAGACAAAAGAATTTATTTGACTTGCACTTCCAAGTCCATCATCATTTGGGAAGCCATGGCAGCAAATCAAGTGTTTTAGTTAGTGTCTGACTGCTGTGATGAACTAGCTTGACCAAAGCAACTTGTGACAAAAGAGTTCAGTTGGCTTATGCTTCCACACCATCCATCATGGAAGAAATTCTGGACAGGGACTCAACAAGGGCATGGAACAGGAGGCAGAAACTGATGCTGAGCCATGGAGGAGTGCTGCTTGTTGGCTTGATCTCACAGCTTGCTCAGCCTACTTTCTTATAGAGCAGTGGTTCTCAACCACTAACGCTGCAACCCTTTAATACAGTTCCTCATGCTGTGTTGACCCCCAACCATAAAATTATTCTTGTTGCTACTTCAGTAATTTTGTTACTGCTATGATTTCAATATAAATAACTGATTATTATTAATGATCTTCAATGATCCCATGTAAAAGAGTCATTCATCCCCATAGGGTCACGACACACAGGTTGAGAGGCACTGTTATAGAACCAGGCCCACCAGCCAGGATGACACCACCTGGACTCTCCCCGCATTAATCAGTAATTAAGAAAATGCCCTACAGGCTTGCCTACAGTCAGATCTCATGGAGGCATTTTCTTAATTGAGGTTCTCTCCTCTCTGATGACTAGCTGTGCCAAATTGACACAAAGCTATCAGAAGTTAAAGGCAAGAACCATGGAAGAATGGCTTGCTCTCTGCTTCATGCTCAGTTTGCTTTCTTGCACAGAGCAGCTCCTCTTGCCTAGATATGAAGTCACTCATATCAGGCTGGGCCCTCCTGCATCAATCACCAATCAAGATACTCTCTCACAGACTTGCCTGCAGGTTAATCTGATGGGGGCAATTCTTCAGTTGACATTCTCTATTCCCAGGTGGCTCTAGGTTGTGTCAGATTGATAATAAACCTAACCAGGACAGCAAATTACTACATTAAGAAAATCCCATTCCATTTCTAGTTCTTAAGAATTTTTTAAATAAGAAAGGTTTATAGAATTTTACTGAGTGAGTTTTTGGTGTCTATGGAGAGGATATTTTTTCCTTTTAGGAGGTTACATCTATTGTAGTTTTCTAATTGTGAACTAAATTTCTTTCCAAAGATCACCTTAAATGCATGATGCCTAATTTTTTAGATTCATTTTGTCAACGTCCTATTTACTTATTGGTATTTAAATAGTCTTTAAAAACATTTATTTACATACTTATGTGTGCATATGCACATATTTGTGTGATTTCAGGCTCTCAGGCCAAAAAAATGTGGTCAGCTCCCTCAAAGATGGAGTAACAAGCACTTGTGGGATACTTGGCTTGCTATATGAGTGCTGGGGCCTTTATTCTAGTCCTCATGGTTGGACAGCAAGCTCCATTTGGTGAGCTATCTTTCCGGCATCAATTTGATTATATTATACTATGTCAAATTTTGGATCAAAAATTGATACTGCTCTTTTAGAATTAATTTGAGAAAAGTCTTTCATCTTTTCTTGTCTAAAAGAATTGACATTTTTGGGCATGTGATGTGGGATTCCCCTCTGTATGCTGTGAATATGTTTTATTACCATCGGTAAATAAAGAAGCTGATTTGGGCCTATGACAGTGCAGAATAGAGCAAGGTGGGAATTTTAAGTAGAGATAGAGGAGAAAAGACAGCAGAGTCCGGAAGATATAATGTAGCTGCAGGAATAACATGCTGGCACCGGTATGGGCAGCCGGGAGCGATACCAGCAGCCTCAGCTTTCCAACATGACTATAGAGCAGAACTTCCATATGAAACTTTTCAGTTTAGGGCTTCCCAGTGGGGAGTAATTCATCACCCGTTTATTTTTTTCTTTTTTTTTGTGCATACAGGACCATTTGGGTTTTCTATATTTTCTTAAATTAATTTTGATGATTCATATGTGTTTGTGTATTATTTTTTATCTAAACTTTCAAATTATTTGCATGGAGTAGTTTAATAAAACTACTTTTTAAATCTGGTAACTTCTCATTCATAGACAACCATAGACCCTCTTCTATCTTTTATGTTGTTCATTTGAAAATTTTGCCTCTTTTGGTCATTTAGCCAATGTGTTCATTTTTTTCAAGGAATCAATCCTTTGCTTTTTATATTTTCATTTTCTTTTTAAATTAATGTTTATAAGCTCCTCCATTACTTGTGGGTTTAATCTGCTGTTTTATTAAAATTTCAATTCATGGTCAAGTCAATAATCTTTATTTAATATAAACATTAAAAGGTATACATTTTTCCTAAAGCATTACTTTAACTTTATATCTCATTCATTTTGTTAAATAGTACCTATGTGTTCAATTAGATCCCATCATTTATAAAAAGAGTTATTATCTGATCCTATGAATATTCAGGTTTTCTTATGTATATATTTGTTTTTATAATGAATCTCTTTGTATTCTACTTGATATAATTGGTTCTTTAAAATTTGTTGAACTTGCTTCATACTCTAGAGCATACTAGATAAATTTGCATGCTTAGCATTCTTGCTGTATCCATCTTACTAAAGGCCACACACAAAAACTTTCTATATAATGTGAAATTATATCTATCTAGTTGGTCTTCTGTTAATTTGCCTTTCATATCTCAGGGCATGCTACTTAGAAGCATGAATTCAACAGCACTATAATTACCTAAACAATAGTAGCTTGAAAGAAAATGCAGAAAGTCTCCCTATATATAGTATAGAACTATTGATCTTCAGATTCATTTTGCTTATATTATTATATTAAGGAACTTTTTTTGCTTGTCTGGAATACTGAAGTTTACTTTTACTTTCAGCTATTTTATTTCTTTCATAAACAACACATAGGTATATTTTATCTGATTGTGTATAAGCGTTAATTTAGTTTGACATTTTGCTTTTGAAGGAAAGAGGAAAATAAGGCTGTATTGACTTTACTGGAAAGATATGTGTTCTTTTTCTTCTGCTTAACTTTGTGGTATCTGTTTTACTTTTCCACAATTCTTTTAGAACTTTACTTTCTTGATTTCTTGAGAAATTTAAATCTTTTCTTTCTTGTTAAGTTTCTCCTCTACAAGTGTGAAGACGATAAGTGAGGATCTTTTATCACCCAGAGCCAAGAAAAAAAAGTATACTTTTTCTAGATTACTACCAGAAAGATTTCACCTTTGATTTTTTTTTTTGTCTTTAAGGGAAGGATATAAGGTTCAACTTGCTATTCTGCACAGGGCTAAAACCATCACTTTTCCATAGAATGGATAACTGGTCTGTCTGTCTGTCTATCATCTATCTATCTATCTATCTATCTATCTATCTATCCATCCATCTATCTATCTATCATCTATCTATCTGTCATCTATCTATCATCTAGTAGCATATGTCATCTGTCTGTCTAGCTACTTTACCTATTTATCATCTATCTATGAACTAAAACTTTAAAATACAAATGAGAGTTTTTTTTTTCTAAACATACAGTCATTCATCTTGCTAGTAGTAGAATATCATGTTTGGTTTCGAGGCAATCATTTCCTTATGCCGTTTTGACAAGTTTATGAAGGTCTAGAATAAAGGGGGAGGTGTGTGGAAATAAAATTGGATTTGTGTGTCTCCTGAGTGGAAACATTTGCAGAACTTGATTCTTATATGATATCCTTTAGGGATCAAGGAAACAAAAGGGATTAATCCTAACACTGTATTTTCTGTCCACTATATATATTGTTCTCATACTTTATTTAACCCTTGATAGCACTTCATCCAGTAATTATTATTCTCATTTTACAGATAACATACTAAATTGGGACTCACACTCTTGCATTTTGAATTTCACAGGGCATGCCCTTTCTCTGGAATAATGCTGCTTTTTCCCAGACAGACAGCTTCTGGAGCGTCTTTTCTGAGCTTGTCTGCACAAACATGGTGAGCCTTTCATTGGCAATTTTCATAGCAAACAGTACAGCTATTTACTCAGCCTTGGTTATAACTTTGCTAATTGCTAGTGCTCATTCTGTTAGTAAACATGGTATTTATGCATTCCAGGAAGAGCCCAGATTGTGGGAAAACTTAGTGATCACATAAACAAACGCTTCCAAAGTAAACCATTGTTTGGGTTCAGAGTGAGGCAAGTTTTACTTGCAAATATCATTTTTGCTTTTTGACCAAATATCTTCCATTTAAAACTCTTTAAACCCCTGAAGGCCATTAAGCCTTCCACAAAAATCTCTTTGTGTTGGCTTACATAGTAAATTTCATAGACTACATGCATCTGTTTGTGGAAGAACCCTGGGCACCATTTCTATACTTGCTGATAGTCAACCTTGCCAATTCTCACATTTGACCCATGAGATAAGCTAACTTATGGGGCTCCAGCCCCATGGAACTTACCACAGACAAATGAGAGAGAATAGCCTCTTTTCTTGTTCCACTTGTTCTAGGTTCTCAGCTGAACATGTCTAAAGGAGATTTAAGGGAACTCTAACACCTGGGTAAGCCAGAGAACAAACCATTAAGCTGGCACAAGTATTAATTTTCATTGGTGTTTCTTTTATTTTGCTATGTCTTTGCTAGTGGAACATAGATATATCTCCTTACAACCCACGTTAGAAGCAACATACCCAGGGTCATCACATTATATAAACAGATAGGAGTTAGTTAAGAGTTTGATGGATGATAATTTCAGGGTGAGTGATTACAAAGGCAAAACCAAGTTGGGTAAGTTTTCCATTTTGAAATGTTCTAGGAGATCAAGGAGACCAATATGGCAGGATAATAAAGTAAAGAGAAGTCATTATTGACTCATTATTTCCATTATATACATAGTCACGAGTGTTTGCAGTGTCTCCTAAGATGTGCTAATAGCAGAGATTAGGAAAGGCTTGAAATCCTTCTTCAGGAAAATCTGCCTTGAAACACTATCAGAGAAGAAAGTATTAGTGCTGTCTCAGTGGACATCCCTAGCTCTGCTATTAAAATGAAAAGGCTGTGTTTACATAATCTGGGCATTCAGGAAAAAAAACTATGCATGTCAGATAATTTTCTCAGAGGAGTTGAAATTAAACAGAAACCAACTACACATCTGTGTCTGGGGCAGCTTCAAACTCAAATGCAAAAATGAGGATGAATTCCAAGTGGTCACCAAGCTCAAATACTCACCCCAACATGTTTTTCCAACTGGAATAGAAAGCCTAACAACTTTTTTTTTGTGAAGTAGGAATTACAGTCAGCTGGTGTTAGTTCTGCTAGTTTTATGACATTCTACTGATTAGAAAAAAAACAATATTTTATTGCCAACAGAAAACACATGAAAAGAAAAATTCCCCAGCAACTTCCCATGCTTAAAAGCAAAATGGAAATCTAGATCAAACATGGGTGTGCCCAGTGTCTTTTAAAGTGAGGCCACAATCACACTTTACCATCTTCTCACTGACGTTTCTGACCTATTATGATTAATACGAAGAAGAAATGGTTATGCCAGGTGTGATGAAACACTTTTAAACTTAGTCATCTTCTCTGGGCTACCTTTGAAGGATGCTTTCAGAATAGCTGTCAGAAACAGTATAGAAGTAGTTAATCCACCCACCATTTCCTTGTTTTGACATCGTGGGGTGTATTGCTAGTGCTTTATACGCATGAGAGGGAAGAAGTAAGAAGTCTGTTTTAATGTTATAATTTGGACCTGCATATTTGATGCATTGTTGCTGATTTCTATCCAGTGTAATCTTGGTCCCAGTGCACCTGAGATTTCATTGCTTTCTTTTCTGAGAAGCTCTTGGGAGGTCTGGGATTTGCTTTTATCCACGAGGCAGTTGGTTATGTGGAGTAATTGAGTATAGACAAGACACAGTTAAGCATGACTTACATTAGCTACTTTCTGAAGCACAGAAGATTCCCTTCTATAGGATACTGCCACGATTCAGAGTGACCTTTTTTCCCCCTCTTGTATCTAAGGCTGGGTCATGTTGTCCTTTTGATGGTGGTGATGAGGGGGGTCACAGTGCACACACCAAATAGAGAGAAAGCTTTTAGGCTTTATTCTGTCCTAAGAACTTAGGAAGCTAACAATGACATTGCTAGCCATAACATTTTCTTTAGCTGAACAAAGGATTCTAGAAGCAAACCCCTGTGTAAATGATAACAAAATGTCCTCAATCTTAGTCAAAATACATTTTTAGTCCAGCAGTTATGGTGTCATAGTAATGGCAACATATTCCCTTATTGTCATTTTGTAGCCAAGCAACTTGGAGAGGAGCTGAGGCTCCCAAAGTGCCTTGCACTTATATCTAATCAGTCACATGGCTTGGTGTCTGGTACATGGACTGGGGTCTACATAAATCTAGATAGAATCAAGGGCAAAATTCTCTTGGATGATACCTCCAGGGTGTTTCAGTCTTACAGCCTTCCACGGAAGTGTGGTAAAGGTAGCCTGAATGTCGCTGATCTTATTTAATGACCTGGATAGGGTCTCAACTCTGGGCTAGTTATCACACTTAGGGGATTTAAAAAAAAGTTGTAGGTCAGCTTTCCATGATCCAGGCTGCAGCCACAGGACAAGAAGAGCACACGAGCCTTGTTCAGAAGTAAAAGAACTAGCTTGAGCATGATGTTTAGGGGTCAATACATGGTGACAAGAGGTTATTTTCCCATCAGGTAACCGAGTCTTATTTCAATTGTTTTACTATATATGCTCTGTGCTCAGGAGCTTTGTTGGACAAGGTTCCCTAAAAAGAAGGCTTCCTACTAATTTCAGGTACCTGCACAGGGCTGGTACCTCCCTGCTTCTAGATCAAGCGTAGGAAGAGCACAGTCTGCAGTCTGCATCCCTAAGCAGGCTCTCCAGGTCTGCCTTTGTTGGTCGTATGCTAATGATCATGCCGTAATTACTATCTATCTTAGTAGGAGTCCTTATATGGGCAGTTATGCTAATGATTACGACCTACTTACCATTACAGTAGCAGTCCTTACAAGGACATTTTTTTTTTTGTCAACATGACACAGATAGAATCATTTGAGAAAAGGGAACTCCAACTGAGAAAATGTCCTATCAGATTGGCCTCATTCATTAATCATTGATAGGGGAGCAGCCTATTGTAAGTAGAGCCATCCAAAGCCACGTGGTCCTTTAAGGTGGCATAAGGAGGCAGGCTGAGGAAGCCTCTCAGAGCAGATCAGTGTGCAACATCCCCCCCCCCATCTCTTCTGCTTTAGTTCTTGCCTCTAGGTTCCTGCCCTGACTCCCTCCATGACAGAGTCCAGTTTTAAGCTGGAAACAAATTCTCTCCTCACAATCCTCACAATTCCAGTGGCCACAAGGCTGTGTTTCTATCACAACACTAGAAATCTAGCTAAGACAATTGCTGAAACTCACTTAAGTTCTATCTAAATTCGGGTTCAGAGATAGCTAGTAGGTCTAACAAATTATCTACGGCCATTTCTCTTCGACTGGCAAAGTCCCGAGTCCCACTAATTATATTATTCTCAAAGTTAGAGTCTCAACAGAGAACTCATTTTTGGCCTCTCATCGTACAGATAAGGAAACAAGACCAGAAATATTAAATGGTCTCACCAGCAGCTCTTTTCAAGTTGTCCCTCCTTTCCTACCAACTAGGATAGGAACGTCATTGGTAGGACAAGTTCTGTATCCTTCAGCTGCTGTGGGCAGAAATGAGGTGAGTAACCAAGCAAACAGACATCACTGATGCCTGGTTTAAGGTAAGTCATTTGGAGAAGAGAGTATGTGGTTGGACCCGAGTAAGATTGGATGGCCATAGTTTAATTAGGCTTGGCAGTAGTTGATGAGATTCTCTCATGGACCCTTTCTTATATCATTATTGTGACTGTTAGTGTAAGAAAGGATGATTTGTGAATTGCCGTGTCATATTCTCAAGGTCAAACATCCTGGACGAACTTGAACCCTGTTTTAATAACTTCAAGCCCTCCCCTCCTTTCTTCCTATTTTACAAGAACAAAGGATCCCAGGCAGGTAAAGGATGTTTCTTTGTCTTGGCTCTCCTGTCAGTATTGATGTATTCTATCTGCTGAGCAGGCCAAAAACTGGGTTCCAGCAGCCAGTCACACCCTTTCAATGGCCCAAAGAACTGCTGACCCCAAGAGAGTAAAACATCTGTGTAAATTCTGCCTTTTGGTTCTGTAATTTATTTCTCTTGCTTTTCAAACAGACAACATTTTCTCCTTAGTTGAAAGAAACAGTATAGTTTGAAATTCTAGTTAACCCAAGCAGTAAACGCTGTAAGTATGGTGGTGTACCAATTCCTCACGGAATGAGAGAGACCTCACATGTTACTAGAACTTGCTGGAACAGGACAGGGCATAAGATTCTGACACTCAAATTGATACCATCCAGTTTTTTTTTTTTTTAGGAGGAACGCAGGAAGAAGTACTTGTTTTAAGGTTAGTATAACTATTTACCCTGCAGATTTTCTTTATTTGCCCACAATGTTCCTTGCTTTATGTTTAAATTGATGTTTACAACATTTATGTGTACAAAGGCATGTACAAATGACATATATGTATACTTATATTTTCTCTTGTTTCTTAAAAAGTCTCATTTAGGTCCAACTTAGGCTTCAGGTAGAATGGGTTGGATAATTGCATCTTTGGATTAAATTCACAAATAATAAAAATTCCAGTGAGTCTAGACAAGTCACAAATAAAATCTAGTTCTAAGTGTAGATGTGTGTGGAATTTCCCATTATCTTGACATTTAGCCAGGCCTGTGGAGAAAATACATAGTTTTCCTTTTGTGGCACTTGAAGAGAAATATTGTCTCTTGGCAAAACAAGACAGCACTAACTAGCATGGGTTATATCTGATTCTGATATGTTAATGGAACATTCTGGGGCATAAATTAATGAATAGGATTTGAGCCTCTATAATAAGGTCTGAACCACATTAGGCAGACAGGGGCTGTGAGCCCAAAGCAGGAGAGTCTTATTCAGTAGCCACTTACTGGCTACTTACTGAAGGGCAGACAGGAGTCTAAATGGTCTTCTCCTTGCTGCTAGGCTAATTCATCACTGTATTATCCCGACAAATTTTCTCTAATCAGCTACAGAAGTCTGAATTAACAGATATGATGAAGCCCATTGACCATAGCTGGATGATTATTTGAGATGAAGATGAAGACTAGAGTAGAAAGCAAAAACTTCACTTCTGGGAAGCGGGGGGCTACATTCACAGAGGAAGGTTTCATGTGTCACGATGTGCCTAGAAACTTGGGGAGCCTGAGGAAAGCAAAGCAAGTAAAGACACTGAAGAGGAATGATTGGAGCCTGCGCTGATGAGAACGGAGCACAGAGTAAGCTGCTCTTAGCATTCGTGAGGACTCTCCTCAGCTGTCTGGGCGTTCGCTTCAGGTACAGCATCTACCACAGTGTGTTCCACTTTGTAAATGCTAAGGGTGAAGAAGACAAGATGACTTCCAGTCTACAGATGCCCACTGGCATGCTAATATAAAGAGCTTCCCTGTCTGCATCTGTGTGACTCCAATTTACCACTTTCACATCGACTTAATGGGAAGATAAAGGCAAAGTCAAAAAACTGCTCCAATTCCCTTTTAGCAAACCCACTACGTAAAGCCCTCCCAGTATCGTCTTTGGATTCCTATTGAGCAACGCTGATGGCCACTTCTTCTTTTTGGAAATGACAAAAATAAACCCAGGTTCCTTGGCATGTTTAAAAGCTATTTAAAACAATCAGGACATGCTTTTGCTTCTTACACTCTGGGTGTTCACCCCAATGAAGAAAGAACTAGTTGAAACACACTCATTACTTCCCTTCATTTTCACACTGAGCTGGACAAGAATCAGCATATCCTGTGTTGGACAGTTGCACAATCAGATTGACAAGCGAGTGATTCTGATTGCCTCCTCAGATATTCCCGTCCTCTCTAACATACTTCTTGGAGGAATATGAAATAGTCGTCTTCTCAACCTAGGCACAAATGGCACATCGGGACTGACGTGGAAGGACAGTAGACAACTCATTAAATTCTCCTACATTTGCCCATGGCAGCTGGTGTATTCTCAGCATTATTATTTTTTAGAAAGCGGGATACATAAGAAACTTGGAAGTGTAGCAGAGAAAAATTCCGTTTGGATTCTTCTCGAACCTAGACAAATGGCTAGAGTACCCTCTAATTCTCCAGTGGGTACAGATATCTGTGTTATGTGTGGCTGTACTTTCCTACAGTCACACTGTCTCCTCCTGGAGCTCTTAACTTGATTTCTCTGCTTTAGCCTTGTTTAATTAGAGTCACAGACTCTCTCTACTCTGGTTTGTAAATGTATTTTTTTCCCTCACATATTACAGCGGATATTCCCTAAGAGTTCTGGTGATGTTCATGTTAGAGTAACGATATAAATTTCAGCAAGACCATAGAGAGTTTGATTTATACAAAAGAAGTAAGTAAATAGAAAAAGGTAATCTACATCTCACCAGTAATATTTATTGCATTTAATAAAATACTAATCTAAAACAATAAAGAAGCAATGCTATTTGCTTGAGTCACAGTGCCATCAACAGCCCTCTTCAAAATAACACATTGCTTACCTCACTGACGTCCCTGTAGCAAAAACCCACTAACATGGATGGGTCACTTGGGAACACCCCCCCCCAGCTTCCGATAATGTAGTATAGTAGAAATGGACACGGGCTTTGGGAATTATAAGACCCATTTCCAACACCAGAGCTGTCTAAAGTGCCCAGGACACTATACATTGGAATGGCCCAGCACTGGCACAGGGCGGGCACACATGAACTGATACAATTCATGAAAAACCTGGGCCCTCTAAGAGTCCTTGCTTTATATGCACACAGAGACTCATCACAGCTGGCTATGAATCGGGGGTTCCCGAGGCTGCCCAGTGCATAGCCATATATTAGGAAGCTGTATCACTTCCTTCTCTCTGAGGCACAGTTAGGGTGACATTTCTTGGCTTTGCTGGGGCCCATCCCTTTCTGAGTACAGCTTGCTTTCTTTTTCTTAGCAATTCCTCTTCCTTCCCCTGAAACTCATCCAACCTTGTTTTTTTTTTTCCCCCCAAACATCTCAAAAAGAACCAGTAAAGTTAAGGATGACCACTCCCTGAGTCTACTGGGATGAGAACATTTTCTTCTTTTACCCCAGAGGCAATGTGTCATAATCTGGCAGGGCACCCCACACTCATGTTGACTTTGCAATCAGGTTGCTAGGACGGGCAAGGCCTGAGCACAGATGGAACTGGGTAAAGAAAGCAGGAAGCAGGAAATCTGCAAGCTTTGTGTTTCTCGTTGACACCCGGTCACCAACACAATCGGGCAGATTCTGTTCAGAACAAGGTGAGCCATTCTGAGAAGCCAGGCGAAGGACACACAGATTAACCGCAGTGTAACACTGACTGTCTACATGGCAAATTACCATTTAGGTTATTTGAAGGGAGGGCAGGGCCATATGAGAAGACATGTGCTCACAATACAATACATACATGCATGAAAATTTCAAACAACACACACACACACACTTTTTTTTTTTGAGACAGGTTTCTCTGTGTAATAGCCCTGGCTGTCCTGGTACCCCCTCTGTAGACCAGGCTGGCCTCGAACTCTTTCTGCCTCCCAAGTGCTAGGATTAAAGGTGTGTACCACCACTGCCCTGCCAAACACTAATTTTAAAAAGCAGGCTAAAATAAAATTTTTTTCTTTAGTTTAAAAAACAGGTAGATTTCATTTTAAGAAATCTCCAGTTTCTAATTTTCAGTAAAATATCATTCATTATTCTCATTTGGCATTTTTAAAATTACATTTTTTTAAAAAAAATCATGTGGTATTTAATGGAGAAAGTCACATTTATTTTATGTTCTTAAAAATAAAACAGGAATAAGTTTTTGTTTCTCTGCCATGGGAATCCATCTGAAGTCTGAGATCTCGGCACTATGGAGTCAGCAACTAGGAAGCCCCTCCTTCATTCCATCTTATCCCTGCAAATCCCACAAACTCACAATCTAGATGATGCTACGCATTTCTTAAGTCATAAAACTGAGTGGTTAAAAAAATTGGATAATATATACAAGGTATTCTGTGCCTGAAATAGGGAGCATGTATGCCTCTCTCTCTCTCTCTCTCTCTCTCTCTCTCTCTCTCTCTCTC